TCTGTTTGAAGAAAGAAGTGCTGACAGCAAAAGTAAATATTGATATCTACCGTGAGGCCTGGAACAGGACTTGGTTTTGCAGATAAAACTGCTATTTATTTTTCCAGCTCTAACCAATCATCTTGCATAACTCTGCAGGCAATAAAATGGTAGTATAATTGTTGGATTTTTAACCTCCTATTGCAGTTAATGGTCACCAAGAGTTCAAATACATTTTCTCATAGAGAAAACTGTATGATGCATTATTGAGTGAAGTAATTATTCCACCAGTAAAGTCCTGATGATCCACTTGCTTTTGTGTTGATGTCGTGTCAAAGTGTCTGGCTTGTAGTCGGACGCATGCTTATTTTCTACGAACGACTAGCAGCGTCATGGAATAAAAAAAGGAACTGGAAAATATCTTGTCAACTAACATGATTCATGGTTATGAGAATAACAGATAAATACTAGTGAGAAATTGGATGGGCTGACTGCCTGGCCTGGACTTGATCTGCATGAAGTTGTTTTCAAAATAAAATGTGCTTAATGCATATGTGTTCGCCATGGGCTTTTGTGTTTAACGTAGAAAATTCTCCATCGAAAATACTTTGCTCGGTTCCAACAAGAGTAAAGCATTCTTCAAACGTTCTTCGAGACAATATTGGAGCTTGAGATGAAACTTGTCAAGAGAGGATGCATTTTGAATCTTGTATACATTTTTGTGTTGTTGAAGGATTATTGAAGTGTGTGGTCATACAATGGCATGCTTTTACTGATAGTAAAATATTTGGTCATTTATGCTTTTACTGTTCACCTGGATATTTACATATGGGGGTGGGGGGAATTAAGATTAGCTCTACTGAAAGAATAATGTCAGGTTAACTCTTGTAGGAATATGTTGCAATAGAGGTTAACCTTCCCATACAGATGTCTCGCATAACTTTTCTCTGTGTTTGAATTGCACTATTCAGCCATCTAGTAAATTTCAGCAGTGATAATCATGACATTGATTGTTTCATTTTTCACCATATCATGTCGGAAGTTGTATTGGATTATACTTTTCTATAATTGATTCAGTTTTCACGTGATAACGTCCATTAACTAGACATAGGTTCAGGTTCGAACTGCATTTCCTTTACAGCTACCTGACAGCTCAGAAAGTTGTGTTATTTTCGAAGTTAACAAGTAAGTGTCAAGACAGGCAATTTTACAAATTTGAAACTTCTGAAGAGAATTAATGCTCTGAGCTAAAATCACACTGAATCCTAACTTATTTTAACAGTGTGCTGACATCTTTAATGTTAGCCTGAGCATTGTCAACCTGGTTTCCCAAAGAATGAGATTCATACATGAATAGCCTGAGTGAGCTTAAAATATTACAGATCTTACCTAATATCTATAACTGAAAATTACGTATAGTATAACAGCAATACCCTCCATTTGTTGAGAGTGAGGCTTACATTAAATGTCTCTTGTTTCTTAGTGAAACATCTTACATTGGACAGAAGCCCTTTGTTGCTTTATACTGTTCAGAAATGGAAATTATTGCTCAACTAAAATTATAAATTTTCTGTCATGTATTGTATTAGTCATGCGTCATCTATGAACCCATTTCTTTGGGAAACCAGATTGATAGTGCTCAGGATATCATTAAAGATATCAGCACAACATTAAGATAAATGAATGTGATTTAACTCAGAACATTAATTCTCTTCAGCAATGGGTCGCAAAGGAAGTGAGATAGTAAGTTACAAGTGTAGGCAAGAAACAAAAACAGAAGTCGCTGGGAACACTCAGCAGGTCAGGGCAGCATCTATGGAGAAAGGAAAGTGAAGTCAACATTTCGGGTCCACGACCCTTCGTCAGAACCGGGGCATGACGTTCCCTCCCAACATGCCCCAGTTCTGACGAAGGGTCGTGGACCCGAAACGTTGACCTCACTTTCCTTTCTCCATAGATGCTGCCCTGACCTGCTGAGTGTTCCCAGCGATTTCTGTTTTTGTTTCAAGTTTCCAGCATCTGCAGCATTTTGCATTTAGTGTAGGGAAGAGTCCATTGAGCTTCACCGCACTGTGACTATTTACCTAGTTAGGGAATTCTTATCACAAAAGTACTTGCCATGCTTTTAGCTGACTGTTGTCTGAATAAAGTCAGCAGTATTTCCAAATAAGCCAACTAAGTAATGCCCTGGTTTAAGATAACGCCTTTATATTGTCTGCCACAGATTTCAAAAGTAAAAGCAGGCTAGTCTCATTGTACTACCTTATTCAGGATCTCCAGATTCTCCCATTCACACAGCTGTTCATTATAGCTACCATAATGCTGATATGAGGAGGAGAAAATAATCTGGGAGATAGATAAAGGTGGAACACAGCAGCTCAAAGTTCGTCCACTGTAAAATGTTGACCTCTGGAAGAGTGTTATTTGTTGAACACTTCAATAAATTAATTTAAATCCTGATAATAAAACTTTCAAGTTATACTGATCTTTTTTTGGAAGCAGAGGAATAACTCCAAATGTTTTTCAAAGTGCAGGCCAATCCAGTTGTAACATGGTAGTTTGGGTCTCTAAATTCAGACACCGCATCATAATAAAGAGCACTAAAAAAAAGGCTGCCATAAGTGTTTCCAGGCCATCAAGTTGCTGTCAATGTTGCTTCCTGCTCAGTGCAGAGAAGTGGCAGTCGCTCTCGTGTTTGTAGCAGTTGCTGGGACACCATAAGATGCCAAATCTTTCTATGTCTGAGCACTGGGTGCAGAAAGGCAGCCAAGTCAGCATAGGAAGCCTGAAGTCTACCACACTCCCAAGATACCACAGAACTATAATGCAACCTCAGTATTGGTTGGGCCATTGTTGTACCGGGTTTAGGATGTATTTGTTTATAATAATAGACCTTGCATTTGACATAGCGTCTTATCACGTCGTTGAGATGTCTCAAAGCTTTTCACAGAAAATATTATAAAGTGAGTTGAGTGTATATTTTGTGGGCGAAATGCAGCAGCCAATTTATGCAACACAAAGGATGCCTGTAGGGTACTGAGATTGCTTCTTGTGGGGTGCATTTTCCTTTTCTGTTTCATTGCCTCTTTGCATTGAGTTGGCAGACTTGGTGCTCGATCTGCTCTCTGTAGCAGGCTGCCGGAGACATCATGCATCGCCCAGATATGTCTTTCATATCAAATTTATAGCATTTGTTCACAAAATAAAATAAGTGGAATTATTTGTTAAGCAAAATCTGCTTTCGAGGGCCTTTAGTCAGTTCACTGGTCTAAAATCGAATAAGATAGTATCTTCTTCAGGTCACTGTCGAACCGTTGACACTAAATCCTGCAATACAGTAAAAAGTAAAAAGTGTCGTAATACTTTGGCAGCCTCTTGTGGTAGAGATCAGGCAGTGTAGGTTCTTCTTTCCTCATCCACTTGACTATTCTGCTTTAGATTTTTAAAAATAGCTGTTCAGTGCTCCTAGCAACTACTTATTCCAAAAACTAGTGAACTTTTTAAACACAATTTTTCACAAAAGCTGGGAGAATCTCTGCTAATACCATGCAGTACTTTTCCCATAATTGGATGATTTAACAGATGTAGAATTGCAGAAAAGAAGCAAGCTGTGTATGGCTTAAGCATGAGAGAAGTGATATCTCGTGGGGAAAGGCGTGAGGACAGATGGAAAATAATGAAGACAGAATTTCTGGAGTGATTTCCAGCAAGAAACAAAAATCTTGTGGTTTCACCAGAAGGAATGTATTTCAATTCTACATGTCTAATTCGATACGGATGTTTTAAATTTGCCTGATAATAATGATGAGTTAAATCTGTCTCAGGGAATGAGATCTAATAATTCCAGGGATAAGGAGCTATATCTGGCCATTTTCAGAGCAACAAAAACTTTTATTTAGCATTTATACAGCATCCCTCACGCAGGATAGTGTCCCAGAACGCATGACAGTGGCGGAGCACGGCGCCAAGGCGGGGGGAAGAGGGAGGTGATCATAAGCAAGGTCGAAGAGGATCAACAACAAGAACAAAATTACATTTGTACAGCCCCTTTCCCGTCGGGAGAATGTCCCAAGGCGCTGGAAAGGTCTTCAGGTCCGACCTGAAAGTGAGAAAAGAGGGGGCAAGGGAGAGGGATTGAGGAAGAGTGTTCCAGAGTTTCAGGGCTTAGTGGCTGAAAGTGTGGCCACTGATGGTGGAACGGAGGGCATGTGGGACAAGCAGGAGACCGGAGCCAGTCGAGCGGTGCTAGTCGAACAGTAGTGGGTTGGGGAGTAACCAGGTTGGAGGGGTCGGGAGGTGCCAGGGCAGAACAGAACAAGGAAAGGAGGTATTGAGAAACATAACGAGAGTGACAACTACCGTGTCTGATAAAAAAAATCTGTGTATAGGTATTAAGGTTAAGTTGAATGGGACAGAAAGTTCGACATGCTGAACAGCCACATTAGTACTACTGCCTAAAGGGGACGGCAAAGAACCTTCTTTGAGAAAAACGATAGATGTGTTTCAACTCATACGAAAACAAATTTAGCGTTCAAATCGCAGTTAATCAGCCAAGATACCAACTGAGCAAATGTAATCTCACAAACCTCTGATCTGGAAAAACAAGTTGCATGTATTTAGGTGAGAAATGGTGCTGGCACCAAACAGCAGCCCAGCCTGTTGGTTTTATCTCTTTAGCCATGAAGTGTTCCCAGTTCTGCTTAAGCAGGTCTAAAATGACAAGCTTGTCTGGAGACTGATAAACAATAATAGATAAAGTAAAGAATGATATGCTCAGTGAGGTACAGTTTGAATAGAGGAAATTTAATGGGAAATCGCTACATTGGTAGCAGATGGACTAGTTTCCTGAACCTCATTCCTGGTCGAAATTTCAGAGCTATAAAAAATTTGTACATCAGATTTACTGTCAGATAGAAAAGGTGAATAAAGGATTTGTTTATTTGGCTCTACTAAATCTCAGATGATTCTGATTTTCTTGTCAACTGATTTTTTTCCACCTCTTCCTTTTCTTCTAAAAATAGGCTATTTTCATGATTCCCACCAATCCACCACCAACCTTCCGGAAACCGGAGCTCTGGTCGGATGAGTTCACGGATTTCGTCAAGAAGTGTCTGGTGAAGAATCCAGAGCAAAGAGCTACCGCTACACAACTCCTGCAGGTTTGTTGCAAGATTCCTGAGGGCCTTCATTTTATAGGGGGAAAATAAAGCTTGGACATCTGTGCAAGATTTGTTGGTCTGTTGTATCCACTGGTAACGTGAATGGAGTCCTGTAGTGTATTGGTTAGAGCACTCGCCTCGCAAGCGAGAGGACCCAGGTTTGATTCCCAGTCAGGGCAAAAGCTTAAGCAAGATTCCTTACTCCACACGCCTCTGTTAACCCAACAGAAAAGTAGGAACCTGATTGTTAGCCGATTGGTGGATCACTTTCCGGGAGTAATATTCCCTCCCCCCAAAAAAAAATTTGGTGACTCAATCCACAATTGTTTGTGGAACATTGCTGTGCGCATTTGGCTGTCACGTTTCGCCCACAAAATAAAAAGTCAATCCACTTTACAATATGTTCTGTTAAGTGCTTTGAGAGATCTCAACAATGCGATAAGGAGCTATATCAAATGCAAGCCAAATGTGACTGCACTCCGTTACAAGGTAAGAAGAGATATTTAAATAAAGTCTTCTGTTAGCAAGGTAAAACTACAATAAAACCTCGTTATAAAGCGCTAACCTGTAAGATGGGTTCGGTTTGGCACACAACCACAGCCAGCTTCCCTCATGCTAGAAATGACTGATGTCCAAGTTGCCGCCGATTTCAGTTCCTATGCGCTGCGCATATATTGTATACGCAGGAAGTGCTTACACACAGAACACAGGAAGTGAAGGCAGCGGTTATCTTCAGGAAATAACATCAGCTGTTTTTTTCATGCTGTGCACTTCACAGAAAGTGGTGTGGTGGTCATTTTGACTCAAACATATATTCTAATGAGACTCTCCTGTACAAATGTCCTTGTCAGCTAGAAATGCCCATCGCCAAATGCAGATATCGTATGTAACACATAGAATTTTTACAATACGTTGTCCATTTGATGCACCATATCTGCCTTGGTACTAGTTGGCCTTTTTCCTTCTGCTCTATTTCCTGTTCACTTCAATATATTTTTTCAATTATCCAATTCCCTTTTAAATGTTGCGTGAACTTGATTTCAGCAATTATTTGCAATAAAGCATTCCGTGGCCCAACAACCCTCTTAAAAATATTCTTCTTTGTTTACCCAAATGATAACCCTCAATTTGTGATGTTTTTACCGGCACATTAACCAGTAGATCTATTTACTTTTTGTAATAATAGTAATCCTTGCGTTTGATAAAATGCCTTTCACATCAGAAGAACGTCTCAAAGCACTTGACAGGATTTACGGTAAGATAACTTTTGTAGGCCAACATGGCTGCCAATTATTCACAGCAATGACCCACAAACAGCCGTAAAGTGAGTAAGCCATTTTATTTGGTGAATTGTTGGTTATGACACCAGGGAGAAACTGCCGTCTCTTTTCAATTACTGCATGCGATCTTTAACGTCCACCTGAGCAGGTAGACTCATCTGAAGGTCGACATCAACAATGCAGCACAGCTCAAACAATGCAGCAACCCCCCAGCACTGCATTCAAGTGTTAGCCTAGATTTGTGAGCTTGTAGTCCTTATGTGGGACTTGAACGCACAGCCTTCTGACTTAGGGGTGAGCATGCTGCCAACTAAGCCAGACTGACACATCAACATAAGGCTTGCGTAAGATCTGTGCATACGATAGCTGCACATTTTAATTGTTGTCAGCATGTAGCTGATGTCTTACAAAACACTCAGTGTGACTGCTCAATTATGTTTGCCAATTGCATACCATCAGAGCCATGGCAAAGGTCCAAGCCTGATGTGAATCTCAGAATAAGTTCAATCTAGAAAAACTGCCAGTAGGAGCAGGTAAATTATGCATGTATTGACTTGTGTGGTTCAGATTATCCTGAACACCCTTGAGCTGCTGAATGTCATCATGTTGGTCTAGAATGATTTTCGATGTCAATCTTTGGCGAGCACTGATGAATGTTTTAATGATTTCAGGAATGAATTGTTACGTTTAAGCAGTTAAATGATGTACCAGCATGGGTGATAAATGTTTTTCGATTTAAACATGAGAAAAGTTAAGGGTGAGAAATGATCATTTGCTCCACAGAACCTCATTCCTTTACAACCCATAAACTAATCAACAACAACTTGAATTTATATAGTGCCCCTCGCACAGGGTAGTGTCCCAGAGTGCTTACATGTACAGTGTCCTTTGTGTTTTGGAATGTTTTTCTTGTTTTTCTTGTACTACCCCATCTGGTCATTTGTTGTTGTTTGTTGGTCGGTTATTCTAAACATTTATCACTCTTTAACTAAGAATATTCTTCTGATTAATTGTCATTATTTTTATTCATGTCCATTTTGTCAGAATAACATTCTCTTATATATCATTTACTGTGAAGCGCTCTGAGACGCCGTCCGGTGTGGAGGGCGCTATATAAATCCAAGTTGTTGTATAATAATGTACCTCAGTGAGATCTCTCTGAACTGTCATCTTTCTGGGCAAAAGAAATATATATTTTTTAGCCTTTCCTCTTATTTTAATCTGTTTAAACCTCAGATCCTACCTCTTCTCTGCCTTGTTCAAATGCTTAAAAACTTACCCTTCCAGTTGCGTCTTGTTAGCCAGAATCTCAGAGTAATCCAGTGGAAAAGCAAGTCAGGAACGACTGGATGTTAACAGCTGCAGAAGTTAGTGTAATGATTTAACCGACCACATTGCTTTCCATCTGGGTTCCTGTGTGGTTCAGTTCCTGATATCTAAGGACTGTAATATTGTGTTAACACAACCAATTTCAGACCTGAAGAGCGGGAAAGATTCAGTCACTTCTATGGGACAAATGAGATATCAGAATGGTGTGAAAGTTACATCGACTGCAAGAATAAACAAACCACTTTCACAATTCAAATCAAGCCTCTTAATTGCTTGCCAGCTGCATGGTACACATTTCCTGTGTTGTATAAGTACAGTACGTGAGTTCCCAGAAGAAATGTTTAGAAGCTATTTTGCTTAAGATGTTTGAGTGTCACGAAAAATAACGTAAGCATAAAGGAATAAAATCTGGTGCAAACTCAGTTTGGCCCTTTTTTAATTAAACATAATTGTTACAACCTTTTGAATGTTTGCAGTTATGCACTGATTAAAAGCGAAGATAATTCTGAATTACTTCCAGATTTCAAAACACTTTATTGTTGAAAGTGTTTCTCAAACAGTATAACATGAGCCGAGTGCATTGTGTGTTTTTATTAGTGGGGCCTGTGAGAACTTTGCGACACGGGCCCCTGGGTGTCTAAAATTAACACAGAATTTGACAACATTTCATTATCAGGTCAGGGAAACTTTGGGACTGGCCAGATGGACTGAGGCGACCTTTTCCAGTCCTGTGCATTCCTGTGTTTCTATGCAATGCTCCTAATTTAGAACAAAATATGCTATCAGCAAAGGAAAATATTATTGGCTTTTAATGGAAGATGGACTTTTTTTAATTACTGGTTTGGCACAAGAACAAGAGGAAAAAAGACTGGAATCTTCATGTTGGATCAAGTGACCGAATCTTGATATCTGACAAAAGTAAAATGGCTTGATAACAATTTGATACAGTGCCATATCACATCGTCGAGACGTCTCGAAGCACTTCACTGGATATACTGTAAAATAAATTGTGTATATTTTGTGGGCGAAACGCGTCGGCCAATTACTGATTTTAACTTGTAGGCACTTTCCATCTGTCTAGGAAGATCTCCAGTTTTCATTTTATTATGCCAATACCCATGATCTAATCTGAATGTTTGGCTTTAATTGATAGTTGGTAGTTACGCTCGTGAATAGGAAAACACCACATTAGAGATTCCAGAACCTTGAATCTGCTATAAAAAGGTTTAAAAGGATGTAATTTCTATATGAGATCACAGTACAGACCTACACTCTCAGTTAGACTTCTTTAGCAATTTTCTTTTCGTTCTTGATCACTCGTTGTTTGCCAGCTCTCGTTGCCGTGTTCCCAGATATGTGGGAATCCCCAAGTTTAATAATGTGCCCGACTCTTGTGATTATGAGCAGGAAAGAACAAACTATGTTTTTAAAGTGCAAATGCTCATGTCTTTAAAATAATTTTCGGTGCTTTTAAAATACTGAAAATTGCTAGGGTGATCTCAATAGCAATAATAATCCTTACATTTGGTATAGCACCTTTCACTTTGGGAGGATATTCCAAAGCACTTCACAGGATATTCTGTAAAGTGCAGTGACTGTGTTTTGATAGCACTGATTTCACTCAACTCCAAACTTTATAATACAGTATTACATTAATCCCTTTGAACTTGTATTTCTCTGAAATTGAGTTTAACACTTTGTTGGATATTCACCATCTATTTTACTTTTTATTTGAAAGAACCTACTTGAAACTAAATCTGTCAATTTCAAAGTCTGACACCTTTCGACACCTTTTGAATCCATTTAAATGTTGTTGTGATTTGGTCCAACCCTTTGGATTTCTGGGGTTTGTTTAGATTGGGTTGGAAAAGTTGTCAGTGTTCTTGATCTAAATGGTAGATTTATGTTTAAAGTGTAATACCAACGATGATGATTTATAATGTCATCAAATTAACACCTGCCTTCAAAATAGGAATGAGTTCCTCTCCTTATATATACAGGAGGATCCTGGATAATCTGTGACAAGTTTAAAATTGCTCATTTGGTAGCAAAGCATCTGAAGACTGAGTGATTACATTTTGTTGATCGTACAGACACAGAAATTTTCTTTACAGAAATGGGCTATTCAGCACATCTACTTATGAAGTCCAGTAGGACATTGGTTAGAGCACTCGCCTCGTAAGCGAGAGGACCCGGGTTCGATTCCTGGGCAGGGCGAAACACTGGGCAAGTTTCCTTACTCCACATGTCTCGAGCAGTAAGTGGATACTCTCACTATTCCAGGGATAATAATCAACTTCAAAAAAAATTATACTAATAATAACTTGGGTCACTCAATCCACGACTATTTGTAGGACACTGCTGTGTGCGATTGGCTGCCAGTTCGCCCAGAAAATATATAGTCAGTTCACTTTACAGTATATTCTCTGAAGCGCTTTGAGACATCTCGACGACTTGATAAGGCTATATCAAATGCAAGGATTATTATTATTTAATAAATTGCCTTTTTTTCAAATTCCGCTTCCTGTGCTTTTCCTCATGTCCCTTTTTACTGCTCAGCTTACACTTGAATGTTTCTATTAATCCATCCTTAATAACCACCAGTGTTAATGAATTCCAAATCCCAACAACCTGCTGAGAGATGCCATTCCTCCTCAGCTCTCCCCTAATTTTCTGCTGAAAATCCTGAGATTGTCATCCTTCCTGTTGTGCTTCTTCGTTATCTTAAACACCCACAAATACACAGTCACTCCACTATAATATATCCTGTGAAGCACTTTGCGACGTCTCAACAGAGTGCTAAGGCAATTTATCAAATGCAAGGATTATTACTATTATTAAATAATTAAATAATTATTAATAAATAATTATCACTTATTCATAATTCATACACAGTGACCTCCTGATACCTTGTCACTCCAAGGGAAAATAGCTCGGTGACTTCTTTGAGGGGTTTCAATAAATACCTGAATAAATGTGGTCAGGATATCGATAGCATGTTGACTCGGTGGTTAGAGCACTCGCCTCGCAAGCAAGAGACCTGGGTTCGATTCCCGGCAGGGCGAATTGTTGGGCAAGTTTCTTTACTCCACACCTGATAATAATCCTTCAAGGAAAAAAAACAATAATAATAAAATTGGTCACTTCAATTCACGACTGTTTGTGGGACACTGCTGTGCGCAATTGACTGCCGCATTTCACCCACAAATATACAGTCAATTCACTTTACAGTATCTTTTGTGAAGTGTTTTGAGACGTCTAGAAGACGTGAAAAACGCTATATCAAATGCAAGGATTATTATTATTATTATAACATCTATTATGGCTGCACTCAATCTCCTCTCTCCAGTGGAAAAAGGCCTTATTTAGGCTAGTGCATGATAGATATTTTTGCTGCATTTTCAATTTGCAAATCTCTGGTGATTCTAGAAAAGTATCCATGTGGGAGTTTGATCTGCCAACAATTCGTTTTTATACCGAATGCATATTAACTCAATTATGACTCTTCAGCTAAATTTGCCTTGCTAGTAGCCAGTTCTGTCCCAGATGGCATCAATCGATCAAGCATTTCCATGCAATCTGAGGGTAAATGAAAGATCAGAATGTGCTTCAGGATGTTCAGCTGCAAATATATCTAACACTGGTCCTGGGGACATCCCTATGTGAGTGGGATAGACATTCATGATTTCACGTTGGGGTATTATGACTGGCCCTGAGACACTTTGAGGCTTTATCAACAAACCAGACAGGACCCTATCCTCAGGCTCTCTGTCGGGATGCAATTCCGATTCCTCATTAGTCGTAAATTAGGTGTGACGCTTCTTTCCTAGCTAAACTGCCCACAGGTGTGTAGAAAGAAAAAATATAATTTTCTGTTCAAATTGGCTTATTATGCCTTGGTATAATGTACTTAGAGTGGTTAGGGGGAACAAATCAGGAACAGAATGTGCAAAGAATGAAAATGACTGGGAAATCATGAAACTAGTCCACACTGGAAACAACAGACTAAAGTGAAACAACAACTTGCATTTACATAGCGCTTTCAGTGGGGGAATATTTAATAGTGACGCTGATCTAGGGAGAGAGAGGAGGTGCCCATAGACATGGTCAAATAGGAAAGTTTTTAGGTCCGATCTGAAGATGGACAAGGAGGGGCTAAAGCAGAGGAATTGAGGCAGGGAGTCCCAGAGTTTCGGGACATAAAGCGGCTGAAAGCATGACTGCCACTGGAGGAGCGGAGTGGATGAGGGACATGCAGAAGACTGGTGCCGGCTGAGCAAAGTGGGCGGGTAGAGGAATGGGAGGTAATCGGGTTGGAGAAGTAGGGAGGTGCTAGGGAATGAAGTGATGTCTAAGTTAATGTGAGGATCTTGGAATCAATCTGTTGAAGTATACCCTCGCTGCTAATGGGAAAGAAAACATCAGATATGCCAATAGTAAATGAGAATTGAAGGCAAATGGTGATATTATGCTGTTGAGTTATGCTGTTAACTAATTAAATTCATCAATGCAGCTGCAAATAACTCACTCTCTAACTTCGCACAAGTGAAGTCTTTGAACCCTATGAAGTATAGATAGATGGTTATCTTATTATCCATCTATTGTGGTGGAAGATACATAGTAATTAATGCCTTTGAATTCTAACCATCATTCCAAAAAACAAACACTTAGTAATAATAATAATTCTTGCACTTGATATAGTATCTTATCATGTCTTCGAGACATCTCAAACGCTTCACAGAATATACTTAAAGTAAATTGACTTATATCATTTTTTGGGTGAAACATGGCAGCCAATTGTGCACAGAGGTGTCCCGCAAACAGTTGGGGATTTTATAAATATTTATTTTACAAATATAATTTATTTTCTAGTAGGTAAAAACAGGATACACCTAAATATTCATACAGCTAACATCAACTGTTTTTCACTTTTAAGAGACTCATTAACGAAAATTATTGTGATAAATTAATTTAATGTACAGTGCTAAAATGATTTTCTAGTAACAACTGCTGATTATTTGATAAATTTGGCATTATTATGTTGAAATTCTTACTGTTCAATCAATATTGCCCTACAACTGAAGACGAGGAACATACTGAGCATCATTGCCAATAGATCAGCTGGCCAAAAATAAATACTTCAGTAAAATTTTAAACTGTGTATATTATAAATAAAACAATATCTTGCACTTGATGATGATAATAATTGTTGCATTTCCTATAGCGCCTTTCATGCCAGGAAGACATCTCAAATTGCTTCATAGGATTTACTGTAAACTAAACCTGAAGGTGAACTTGGCAGCAAATGTTCCACAAACTGCCATGAAGAAAATGACCAATTTTATCTGGGGGATTGTTGGCCAGGACACTGGGAGAAACTTCCTTCTCTTTTCTAATAGTGCCATGGTGCCTTTAACATAAGGATATAAGATATATACAAGCTATAAGGATTGAAATATAGCTCTGGGGTTTGGATGATGGCTGTAAACCTCTCATGATTTGCTCATGGTTAGTGCCTTGTACACACTTGCTAGTATTGGTTCTTTTGATATTTAATGGCCTTATTGATGATGCTTCACAAATTGGTGATGGATCAGGTATATCCACATCATCTGAGCATGGTCGCCATATGAGTGCTTCAGGACGTTCAGCTGCGATTGCAACTAACTAAGAGAACAGAGCCTTGAATGGATAGGGTGTACATCAACAGTTTTGCATTGACTATGGCTGGCTCTGAGACACTTTGAACCCCATTGATTTAAATAGGCAAATCGTGTGTTTGGCTACTTGCTGACAACTGGAATTATGCCCCTTTTCTCGCTACCCCCTCCCTCTCCCTTTAAATTAACAGTCGATAATTCATGTTGTGAGAATCCTTAATGCAGAAAAATGCCCTCTTAAGTAATCTAGATTGGAAACCACAATGGGTGCTCAACCGTGCTGTAACTGGTTCAGACTATTTATGGGTTGTGTACTTAAATAATGTAAAAGCATTAAAGTCTAATTATCTGTGGCATATTAACTGCAGATTAGTTTAAACAAGGGCAGCAAAGTGACTGCGCTTGCATTGATGATACGTAATTTGTGGTGGCAGATGTTAAGATGTATTAAATATGTTTAACTATACAGCAAAAGTAGTTTGTTTTCTTATGTCATACAATCACTGAAACTTGTTTACCTATCAATTATTTGATACACATTTTCATGTCATGCTATTTGCCATCATAATGACCATTTGCATGTGTCTTCTTTTCAGTAGCCTACATGATTGCGATTGACAGGAAATATATGTTATAAATACAGTAGCAAATAAGGTTTTGTAGTCATGAATGACAATATAATATTTCACAAGCTCCTGATAATGATATGCACTCCTTCTCACTTTTCATTAAAATCTATTTGTGAAAGAGTAAAGGTGTTCAATCCTCAACGTTTCTCCCTTTATGTCTCTCACAAAGGGGAATTTTGAGATTTTTATTTACACCGGCAGCTTTTCAATGCACCACCCAAGTGGCTATTCCTTCACGGGCGAGATTACACTGAGAGCTGGCTGTCTTTTTTGTTCAGCCAGATGTTTGACACATGCAGAAATCTCTTGCTATGGTTAAGAGGATCCAAAATGCTCGTAGACTTCCACGTAAGCAAGTATCTAAAAATGGAGTGCACACTTTCTCCATGGAGGGACTCATCCTACTGCTCGTCATGTGGGAGTACACTATCCATCAAGGCTTTGGCTTATACAGTTAACGGGAGCCAAGTTGGAAGAATCTTTGTCTCCAGTGACCCTGTTTTATATGTCCTGCTGACTAGCCAAGCTGCGACCACCACAAGGGTTTGACTTGAATCTAACTTTCCGTTGCACATCACCTTGGAATCAGTTCTGTCTTATTTGTGAAGGTGGCTTTAAAAAGAACCATGAAAAAAACAGCTTCCAAATTAAGACTGAATTGAAGGACTTTCCAAAAATTCTGCACAATCTTCAAATTTTAAGAGATTGCCTTAAGAAAAAGACCTTGAATAATTGTGGGTTTGGGAAGGTTGAAAATTAAATGCATCTATTAACCAGTTTGCTACATCTCTGTTTTTTTTATTGCAGCACACCTTTATTAAAAATGCCAAATCAGTCTCAATTCTGAGAGATTTAATCACAGAAGCCATGGAAATCAAAGCAAAAAGACATCAGGAGCAACAGAGGGAACTTGAAGAAGAAGATGAGAATTCGGTATGTGTGATAATCTTAGCTATTCTTATGTATAGGATTGTGGATAAATGCTGAGTGCTTTGAATGGGACATTTCTTTTCAATAGTGCCAAATATCAAGTCACGTATGATTTTGTTGACTTCACTGTCAAACAACATTTACATAATGCCAATCGTGAGTGATTGGAAAAAAAATAGTCTTGCAACATGTGTGAATTACTGTATGTATTTTTCTTTTACCTACTCTTCCTGATTTGCTTGTGTTACACATCATCTGGCCAGAAGAGGTGATCAACTTGCTCTAAAGTCCACGCTTATTTATGTCTGTGATTATCCACATGGGGTGGATGCCTGAGAGCAGGTCGGGATGCCTTCATTTTGCTATCTTCCCTCCTTGTAGGCAAGTGCTCAGTACCCTTTCAAGACGATTATGGCTAACATTAAAAATCTACTATATTGGGAAACTCCTATTCTTTACTCCTTACTGCAGTGCATTGCAGCTTCAGCATGCTATAATAATTATAAAATAATAATCCTTGCATTTGATATCGCGCATTGTCACATCTTCGAGACGTCTCAAAGCGCTTCACAGAATATACTGTAAAGTGAATTGACTGTATATTTGTGGGCGAACCGCAGCAGCCAATTGCACACAGTGTCTCACAAACAGTCGTGGATTGGGTGACAAATTATTATTTTTAATTATTTTTGAAGGGCTTAATAGCCCCACAAAAGGGATCTGCCAATTGACTAAGAACCGGGTTCTTACTTCCTGGTAGGTAAATAGAGGCGTGTGAGGCGAAACTTGCCTAACGTTTCACCCAGCCTGGGAATCAAACTCAAGTCCTCTCGCATGTGAGGCGAGTGCTCTACACTACAGGACTCCACATATGCCACCAAGTTGCCCTTTACTTAACATCTTTTTAATGGACACCGTATTAATGTTAATGTCTTTTTTTAATTTTTTTCCAACATTAAATACAGAGTTTGCTAGATTTTACTTCATTCGGAAATTACATCAGTTCCATTTGTGTGCGGCTCAAATCAATATGAATTCCAGATGTCATCAAACCTCTTTTTTAATACTTGTTATAGTTGAATTTTAATGCAAGTTTCTATTTACAAATTCAAGTTAATATTGCAGTTCAGTTCAAGTTGAGGCAGTAAATAACAGCAAATCAGAATATTTTCTTTGAATTGCAAGCCATTTCTGCATTAGTTTTAAATGAAACCTCACCAATTTGCAGTTCACACAGCCTGAAATTAAATGTTGCACATGCAAAAATGAAGCTGTCGTTAAAAGCCCCATGAATGTGAAATGATTATCGGAGCAGACACAGATAGAGAATATGCCCATCAAGTCCAAGTGTGACACCATATTAACTTCTAAAGGCATTTCTTTGGTGACTGCTGCCTTTGTTGACAAAATGTTTTGTTATAAACTATGTTCAGCTCAAAACAGTTGCGAGAAAAAGCAATAAAACTACTTCAACATCAGGTTAGTATTATTTCAGTAATAAGCTTGAGTTATTAAAACACAAAAAGGCTTTAAAATAAATGGTACCCTAGCTCTCTCAAATGTCCCGTTTTTTTATTCTTTTCTCTTTATTTTAACTTCAAAAGCTTTCCCTTTTATGGTAAAGCTGTTCTATTTATGCAAGGTGTTATGAAGGAATACTATAGCCCTGTGTCGCATTAAGTTTCAATCAAAGTAGCTGAGGTCAGGTTATGCTTTACATGTTGTAGTTTGTCATTATTAAGGTATTTTTATGCAACCTTCTCCCATGTTTAATAGGCCAGTTATACTGCAGAGTTTGCTGTGGTTCAATGTGAAATTTGGATTCCACTTACACAAGTGCAGTTTATCAGCAGAGTCTGGTTTAGTCGCAGGTCATGACCACCTCCAACAGGTAGTCTTGAACCTTGGGCTCTACATCAACTGTGATATAATGCCATCTGGTATGCAACAAATGTTTTGAATTGGAGTTAAATTTTAAAACCGTTTTTTGAACATTTAATTCCAGCATAGGCTGATATCTACTCACTATAAATAATAATAATCCCTGCATTTGATATAGCGCCTTATCACGTCTCACAGCGCTTGACTTAATGTACTGTAAAGTGAATTGACTATATCTTGTGGGTGAAACGCGGCAGCCAATTGCGCACAGCAGTGTCCCTCCCACAAACAGTCGTGGATTGAGTGGCCAATTTATTATTATTTTTTGAATGTTAAAGATTACTTAATTTTGTCAGTGGAGCAGTGGGAATGCAGAAGGCTGCAATTTACTTAAAAGTGGATCAGCAAGAGAGTGACAGAAAAGACAGTACAAGTCCAAGCTTATATTTTCCAGACCAGTGGGACTGAGCCAAAGGATTTTCTTCATTGGGTGGAAGAGCTTTAGTTGCTATTTTGGTCGAGCCGTTATTTCAAAGGAAAATAGAATTTTTAGCCTGGTTATCCTAGCTTGTGTTTGGAATTGCCAATTAGCTGCTGTGGTTGTCAACATAAGAACAGTCGCAACATTTCTAAGTAAAGCGTGTTGAAGTTCCTTTTATGTGAAATCAATAAATTGGGGAGATAGTGGGAGTGTGGTGATGTCGTTCAAAGTTCAGGAGCCAGCCGTGATAAGTGGTACTACAGCACAGACATTCCAGCTACATACGAGGGGGTTGGGGAGAAGAGAAACTGGTAATATTCTGGATAATGTTTCCAGTTGATTAAACATGGCCAGCAAATGAATTCAGTGCACAAATCTCAGTCTTTCTGATGAACTGTAAATCAGATTTGCAATAAATGAAATGTAAGGCATTCCCTGGCCGACTTCAAAGCTTGCACATGTGAAAATAAAGCTGTATTATGACACATCAATGAACAGATCAACACAACACTAGAATTTGATCTTAACTACCAATGTAGTGACTGGACACCACACCTGGTTGGAAGTTGCCTCCAAATCATAGCTTATGTGGAGTCTCGCATTGTAGTGGTTAGCGACTCAACTCGGACGCGAGGGAACCTGGGTTTAATTCCTGGGCGGCCGAAACCTTAAGCATGTTTTCTTATTCCACCTGCCTCTGTTTACCTAGCAGTAAGTAGGAACCCTCACCATCCACGACCTCATCCTGGACGAGCACCTTGACATTTTTGGGCTCACCAAAACCTGGCTCTCCCCCAATGACCCCATCCACCTAGTTGAGGCCTCCCCTCCAGGCTACACCTTCCACCACACCCCCCATCCAAACCAACGTGGCGGCAGGGTGGCGTTCATTTCCAAAGGCTCCCTTGGTCTCACCCCTACTCCTCTGGCAGCTTCCCCACCTTCGAGCACCTCACCCTCTTCCACCCCTCGCTCCCTTTGAAAATCCTCTTTGTCTACCGCCCCCCTAAACCCCCCGGCTCCTTCCACACAGACATCTCTACTCTCCTCTCTTCCCTGTCCCTCTGCTCCGAATGCCTGCTCATAATGAGCGATTTTAACCTCCACTCCCCTTGCACTACTTCTGTCAACTTCACTGCCCTCCTCTCCTTCCTAAACCTTACCCTCCGCATAAATTCACCAAACCGTGGTCATGCCCTTTGCCTCGTTATCACCCATGGCCTTGACATTTCCAACCTTAGCATAGTCGACAAGGCCATCTTGGACCATTTCCTCATCTCCTTCTCCTCTCACATCCCTCTTCTCCACCAAACCCTCAACCATCCTCTACCGCCCTTGGAAAAGGATAACCCCTGAGACCTTCACAAAGGCCCTAACATCATCAAACATCCAATCCCTCTGGCTTGCCACGTGCGGAGATTCTGAAGCAGCCGTCCAGCTGCTCCATGATCGCCTCTCCTCCACCTTCAACACCCTCGTCCCCGTGAAATCCAGGACCATCTCCAAACCCACCCGATCTCCCTGATACAATAACCATCTCGCCGCCTAAAAGCCCAAACCCAGCTGCTCGAGCGCAGATGGCGGAAAACTGGCCTGACAGTCCACCACCAACTGTGGCTCGAGGATCTCCACAGCTACCGCTGTTCTTTGACACGTGCAAAAACGGCCTTCTACTCCAACATCATCTTGGAGGCTAAACACAACCCTAAAATCCTTTTCTCCACCACCCACTACCTCCTCCGTGCCTCCCCTCAGACCTCCTCAAACTTCATATCAAATGCCAAGTGCGAGGAGGTCATGGACTTCTTTTCATCTAAAATTCACAACATCCGCCAGGCAGCCTCATCCACCTGCCTCTTGTCATCCACCACCATGCCCTCCCTGTCCCCCTCACCCTCCCCATCTGCTCCTACCACCACCCCCACCTACATTCCTTCCTCCCCATCTCTCCCTCTCACCCACCATCACCTCCATGAAACCCACCACCTGCTGCCTCAACCCCCTTCCCACCAACTTGCTGGTCACCCAGCTCCCCCCCCCTCTGCCCATTACCGGCTGACGTCATCAACCAGTCCCTCTCCTCCGGATCAGCCCCTGCTCCCCTCAGAATTGCTGTCATCACACCCCTCCTCAAAAAACCTTTCCTAGATCCCTCAAACTCCAGCCATTACCGCCCCATTTCTAACCTGCCCATCCTCGCAAAAGTCCTAGAATGCGTTGTTGCCAATCAACTTCGCGCAGTGTACGCGCAGGGGTACATTTCCACATGTATGCAGAAGACACCCATCTCTATTTTTCCACCTCTCTTTCCGACCCCCAGTCCCCTGATGTTCTGTCAGTCTGCCTGTCAGACCTCAGGGGCTGGATGAGCGCAAACTTCCTTCAGCTGAACGTTGACAAGACGGAAACCATACTCTTTGGCTCTCGTCAACGTCTGAAATCTCACGGTTCTCACCTCCTCCACCTACCCGACTCCCCCTAAAACTCTCCGAACCCGTATGCAACCTCGGCGTCAGGTTCGACCCCCAATTATCCTTCCTCCTCCACATCCGGCCCTCACCAGCACCGCTTTCTTTCACCTCCGATGCATCGCCTGTCTCCAACAATACCTCTCCAAAAGCCGCTGAAACCCTAGTCCATG